TATATAGTTAAATTAATAACGGCAATTAAAATTTTGGCAACATATAAACTCATAGCACTTAATTATATTCATTATTCTTTGGTGAAAACTTTAGCAAGGAAGTAATTAAAGGATTGAATAAATCTGTCATAAATGATGTATAAAATGTATAGAGTCGACTCCGCCATACAAAATCGATGAAAATCTCCAGTCGACTTCGAGCTCTGATTAATTGGTATGCTTGTGGAGATTCAACAATAATCATTGATAACAATATAACATTTCAGAATAGCACAAGTCGGTTAATCGAATAGAAATCCAGCATCAAGCTGGCGTAACACTAGCATGATGCTGGATTCGATTAGAGTCTCGCTTGGTACCGGCTTTCTATTCGATTTACTGACTTGTGCTATTCGACATTCAAGCTCATAGATTGACTGTCCAAAAATACTTTAATTCACAGTTCGTGGTCGACTTGAATTTTTATGAAGTCGGTTTGACTTTAGAGTCTGCAAACCTCAGCGAAAAAAAATTCTGGCTACGCCTCTTAACTAGCGAAATTAAAGGTCAAAATTTATCTATAATGCCAGCGATGTAAGCAAGTAATTACTGAACTTCATGTATTATAAACAAAAATGGAGGAGATTGTTATAATCATAAACTACAAGAAGAATGTAATTTTTTTTTTTTCATTTACCCAACTTTTATAATTGAGAAGAGACAGAATGATAATTCTTTATGACGCTTAATTTACTCTAATGTCAATCAAAATGAAATTAGTATGATTTACACAGTCAAAAACATACGTATGAGAGCAGATCATATTATGATACATCAACGATGATGTTTTGCAGAAAAAATCTCAATTTATTGTAAAGCTTTAAAATACAATTCTTCCTTCAGCCCTGAAACAATTTTGATGTTGATAATGGATAAATTGGAACCTTTCACTTGTGCATACAGTGAAAAAAAAATAGTTGAGTGAAGGAAGGAGAAACAAATTGTAATGTGTATAATTTGCAAGCAAAGGCATTGATACATATTTATGTTTTTCGAAAAGGCAAACCAAGACGTTCAAGGAAATTATAAGAATTAATAGACATTCGAATTACTCTTGAAGAGTAATTAGAATAATCGTCATTGTTATTTTCTTGAATCATTCATTCAATTACACGTAAATACTCACGAGCAATTGAAAAATTCCTTGAATTCAGTTTTTCTGCTCTTTTTCATATTGAGAAGAAAAAAATGCAAAAATCATTTCAATTTGTATCCATCCGGAATATCAATCATCATCTCAATTCCAAAAATAGAACTTTATGATCATTTTGCATTTTTCTGCTCTTCGTTAAACAAGTTTTAAAATTCAATTGTATTATATATGAAGAGTAAAAGCGTATCCAAGGAAGGAATGAGATTTGAGGTTAAATAATTTAAGTTTTTAGCTATTTCCGAGATATTCCTGTCTATAGAATCCGATTGATTTTCTATGATATGGATTCAAGAAAGATTTCACGATGTTTCGATAACTAGAGGAATCGATGTCCTTGAACATAGTAAAACGATTAAAAGTGTCTGGAATTATCTTTATTTCTTAAATGTAAAGTTGAATCATTGATGAAAAAAAAATGTTTTTCAAGCATCAAAAGGAATTTGCATATCAAAAAAGGGCGTTTGATTGCTCAATTCAATAAAACATGAACGATACCACAGACATTGAATTTAATGCAGAAGAAGTCTGCAGTAAAAAACTTTCACATTTCTCAAAAAAATATAAAAAGAATTTCATCTCGATTTTTTTTTTAACTTTTTTGTGAGAAAGTTAAAAAAACAAGTCATAAGAATATACCAAAATGTCGATGAATAAAGAGCAATTCAATTGATGACCATTAAACAACATTGAGATCTAAGAAAATTATATAAATAGATTTTTGAAATAACAATGAATATTCCACAAGTGTTATTAATTTAAGCATTTCAGGAAAAAGCTGTTGGATTTTCTTTACAATCTAAATGTACGTCAACTTTGTTATGGTAGCAGCAAGCTCACAACATGGAACTTTAAGAATCAAATGATTCAATAACAATACTGTTATTTCACAGCAAGAGTCTAGTAGGATAAAGTCAAATAATTGAATGACGCATATGGTCTATATGCTTACGTCAAATATTCAAGCTGTATTTACTGATCAATCACATAAGTATATGTTAAGATAAGCAATTTATTAAAGGATTTGATAAAAATGAGTATGAACTATCTAACAGTTACATTGTCATAAAACATTGCTGCATCATGTTTGATCGATATTAAGCTATGACTTCGATGAAATGAAGTTCACTGATAATTAAAAATTTAATCCAAGAATAGGCGTTTCCAACTTAAAGTGTTTCCATTTTCAGAACAATTCAATATAAAATAATCAAGTTTTATTAACATAAATGGTAGAGAAATTGAAGACAAAAGAGCTTTGTGACTATTTTTGTTATCATTTTAGTGCAATTAACTTTCCAATGCATTTCCGGACATGCTATGCTATAGCAAATTATATAGGAAAAGCTTATTGAAACTTATAAACAAACAAATGATAGATATAATCCACTAAACGTTCTTCGATGGACCATTTAAAAGCACTAGAAATCCACTACACTAACTGTTGATTTCATGGTTTTATTTCTCTTTTATATCCTAACAACTTTTCAATCAATTGGCATTAAGTGCTTCTTCAGTCAACATGCATGTCTATGATGTATGAATAAATTATTGAAGCCCTTTCGTCGACACATTCACAAAAAGAGAAGATCAAAAAGTTTTGCATCTCATCCGAAAAGACTTGAGAGTCATGATCGATGTCAATATTTTCAATATTGATCAATTGTTTGTTATTTTAATTGCATTTATCAGCAGTTTTTATGATTAAAAAATAAATGGAGAAAGGAAGAAGATGAATTGAAAAAAATAGATCGGTTTTGTGTTATGTAAATCACTTTTTATCGGCACAACACTCCTTTCATGAGTTGAAAGTGGAAGAAGAAGAGAAGAAAAGGCTTATTCCTATTTGCGAATAATGGTTTTTGTATGTGACAAATGAAAATGAGGGTGTGATTACCTTTTTCTATTTTGAGGTGGTATTAAGGCTTTTGAAATATTTTAGAATACCTAAAAAGTTTTACATGTCATCAAAACTTTATTGTGGTTTTAATAGATTTATATATTAGTTTATGATATAGCAAAAACTGAACTCTCACATCAGGGTCGCAGTTATTAAAAAAAATTCCTATTTGCCTAGAATTCTACATCAATGCTCATTAAATGATACTCCATGACACGCCAGTATGGCGACGAAATTGCAATGTGTCAACTATCCTAGACTACTACTCAACCTTCACAGAACAATTGCAATAAAACATTAATAAAAGAAATTGTAATCAATATTATTATTATCATCGTTAAAGCCATCATCATTGTTAATACTGCTTCCAGGCTATCCTCGAGGCAAAAAAGGACATTAAACACTCAATTTTTTTCTGCTCCTCGATTCCAAGAAGAGAAACATTAAGTATTTAATAATGAGTAATAAAAAAAGAGTTTTTTTTTGCAATCATAAAGACTTTGAGATACATAAATAAATGTATGGGTATGCAATAATAAAGGCAGTCGCGCGAAACTTTCTCTTCGTGAACAATTGCATTCGATTCAATAACGGGCGGCATCTTAAAGCAGTTGAAAGCAGTTCTTTCACTCATGGTCGTTATGTCTGTTGAAAGAAGTTATAAATGTGTAGAGACAAACATCAGTAAACAGGTATTGGTATCGTGAATATTTTGACAACAGCACTCAACTCACAATTGCCATCATTATCATCACATGCCATGCTATTATTACATTTTCACTGAATTTCACTGATTTCGTTTTACTATTTCCTTCAACAGCCATTCCAGGCTGAAGACAAAACTGAGATAATTTTTTAAGCAATTTCAGTAGTGAAAGGTTAAATTGTAGATTTACATTCACATCTCCAATTGTATTGTACCACAGAGAGTTATTTGCTTACATTAGTGGCTTTTTGAACAGCATAGGCTCCATATTTCACAGTTGAAATAACATCATCATTTAGTATATTTTTTCTTAACCTCAAAATTTAAAATTAAAAAAAATTGGCAAATGATTGTTCTATTAGGCAGCATGAGAATGAATGAAAATTATTGGCTGTTGGCTAGGGGGGCTACACCTCTGTCAAGTGAGGTCCAAAATGCCAGCATGTCACTTTGTTTATCCATCAACCTTATTGCCACCGCATTGTTAAAGCCATCGAGATTTGCAACATCAAAAAAATCTGTTCTGCTTGGATAAGAAGGCGTTTAACCAGAATATGACTTTTAAAAATCGATTTTCAGTTTACGTAAATTTATTTACTTGGTTGTAAAAATATATAAAATAATACTTATTAAAGCATACGTAAATTCACATATTACGTAAACACACACAATATACGTCAATGACCCCCTTTTTTTAACTCGTACTTCATTGTGAAGAATTCTTTTTTATTTATATGCTGCTATAAATCTTGTTTCTAGTCTTGTTGGTGTATTTTTTTACCGAAGAAAATGAAATAAAAATAAAAAGAGATTGACTAGAAACATTGGCAAGATAACAAAGTAATGCACATTCTTTCTTATTTGCTTGTTTGTTGAGTACTTTACAGAGTGGGTGCTCAAGAAGTCTGAATTTTTTCATGTCTAGTTTTTAATAGAATTTTTTTCAAATTATCACTCAAAGACTTTCGAAATATAATTATTTATAGCAAGTCAATGAGATTCAAAATTAAGGTTGACTAAGTTAGCTACCCTGTAAATGGGCAATAAAAAACAATAATTCGCATAAGCATGTAAACAAGTAAGTTTATACCTCCTTGCGATGAGATTGATAATTTTAAACCAGTTTTCATTTTAATTCTTTTTCGCTCATACTCAATAATAGTAATGAGAAAAAGCAGAACGAATAACAGATATGAAAGACTTACCTTGAATGATTTTATGTCCACCGGCAATTTGAAATGAGACTGCGACGCCAGGCGATAAGTGAAATAATACAATATGCTGATCAGTATGAGAATGTGTTGGACAATACGATTGATGAATTTCAAAACCTGGACCGAAATGAAAAGCAGGCTCAACAACCGGCCACGGATTTGGTTGATGAGCTGTCAATTGTGCTGTCGTAGCACTAGCTTGTATTTGCCCCGGCGATATGGCAGTTGATATTTGGACCGGTTGTATATGATGAATATGGTGTTGTACATGCATAGTTCGTGGTGGTACAGCATTGCCAATTTGTGGTGGTGGAATAGTTCCAGCTTTACAATTGTGACTGTGATTAATATTCATATTATGTGTCGTTGGATTACGCGCCGTTGGTGTAACAATTGCTATATTTACCGGCGATGATTCAACCACGAGTTGTGATTGCGATGAATTTTCACCACTATTGCCATGACTCGTTGGCTCCGATGTCATCGATTCATCGATATTACCTGACTGAAAGTAATGTCGATTTGATGACGACGACAACTTGTTTGGATGTTGTTTGTAGAATTTCTTTGTATTCTTCATGAATGGTCTTGTTTGTTTACTGTTTTCCGGTGGTACATTGACCATTAGAGATAAATTTTAATTAAATTCACTTAACACAAAATTCCTTGTTACGTAATTTTTGAACAATTTTCTCTTCAAATCTTTTCTTAGAGTCAAAAATCCTCTTTTATAAACTTAATTACATTTTTTTTTCTAACTTAAAATTAAAATACAAATGCATTGTTGAAATACTATTAAAAATTTGTCAAGTCCTTACTGACTTCTGCCTTAAGAATATAAATATTCTTCAAATATTAATAATCTATAGTACACTTCGCGATTTAAACGATACAAAAAATATGCAACAAAAGTAATTTTTTTTTTTCACTATCGAGCTTATATCTTCTTTCTTCAATTCTCCGTGAACTGACTTAATTTAAAGCTACACTGGTTTTTGCAAATTCTACACGATTTTATAAAACTGCTCGATTTTTGTGATGTTAAACAGATGAGAAACACAAACATTCAATTATCTGAAAGAAATTAAAAAAAATTATGTCATTAATATTTTGCTGATTTTGGTGATCAACTATTTTGGAATTGAAGGTTTATAGAGAGAGAAGGTTGCTTAAATATGATTCCGACTTATTATTAAATGTGAATAGCATTCAGTTGACAGAAGTCTTTCATAAATCACAGGGGTCTGCCAATTTTTTTCTTCTAATGTGGGAGGCTTAAAGGCTTTAATTCTAACTCCCCAACTAGTGTATCGGGTACAAAACCAATGCGGATTATATTCACACCGTACCATCAATAGTCTTATGGATAGACCAAGTTTTGCCCAGCATAAGTATGAAGGTATGAAGCTTGATAAGTCAACTGAGCTTCGCTTAGCATAAGTTTGAAGATATAAAGCTAGAGAGTCAGTTGAGCTTCGCTCAGTATAAGTTTAAAGGTTTAAGCTTAACGAACATTCTTTAAAAGTTTTTAAAAATATTTTTCATCCAAAGTTGAATTTTATAAAAATCACAGTGAACTTTTTTTTCGTAAAATTCATAAGAAAAGAAAGTTTTTTACTTTTTCTGAAGCAACGGCTGTTCCTACCTTGCCCAAAAACAATACAGCTCTTCTATAGAGCAGCACGGATCAAATGTAAAAAACTAGAAGTCTCTACGATGTCTCGTTATTGAGATTTCTTGCTGATTAACTTGCTTGCTTGCTTGTTTGCTTACAGAAAGCGTATTTTGCGATTTTATCAGCAATGCCACAACCAATTTGAAATCTGTTTTTTGAAAATGATGTAAAATTTCAGGCGAACTTTTCTTCTGAGACCTTTTATTACCAATTTTGCTTCGTTTTCTCACAAAATGCGAAAAACTGATTTTTCAATCTGAACAAAACCAATAGATTCACAAGTGAAAATGGTGTGAATATAAAAATAATTTTTGCACAAAACTTACAGTTTTAAATTTCTAAACTTTACAATTTATACTTAATAAGTCAAAAATAAAATGCCCCCAACTTTCTTTTTTTAATAAAAATGAACTCGAAAATGAATTTTGCAATGCAAAATATATTTCAATTCGACATTAAAATATTTTCCCATACTCAATTTGCTCAATTATTGATAATCTTAAAAGATAAAATGTTGCAAAAATGTAAATTAAAAAAATATAAAATGAATTTTAAAGGAGAAAGTAACAAGAAGTTTATACCAATTTATTATACAGATATCTGAGTGAGATCCATAATTAAACGCATGTCTTATTTCAACGAGACCAAAAGTTTTCTTTGAATTTTTTCAGATTAAAAATTATTCAAGCCTTCATAGGTGCTAATTGAGTTCAAACATAACTTTATGGAAATTTTGTATGCCGCCAAATTTTAGTTGAAAATGTATAGATCAGGTACAACGCCTAATCCATCCTTATTCTTTATTGATTTGCTCGGAAATATTGGTCACATGTCAATTTGACTCATTTTCTCTGATTCCAACAAAATTAAATCTAAAATCTTCCTTATTCAATGTGCAGTATATTCTAGGCTTGGAATAATTATAAATAATTTAAATGCGAATTTCAACTCATCATCATCTTAACGATACGAGAATCCACACGAACATTTTATAAGAAAAGTGTAGAGAAGACTGGAAAAAACTAAAAAGTTCTCTTCTCATTCTTCCTTCAAATGATAAAATTTTAGTTGATAAAAGTTTTTTTTTAATGTTTCAAGCATCATGCTATGAATATCAGTCGTTGTAACTAAGACACGTGTTGATTCGACCTTGAAAATGATAGCACGTACATACATTTTCACTTACTACATCCACACAAAAAAAAAATGATTTCCTAGAATTTGACGCGAAAACGCACTAAATAAGACAATCTGCTGGATATTCGTTTCATTTAAGAATGTCAATGTGAGATGAAAAGAAGAGAAAATATATCAGAAAATAATTTGACAACGATAGATTGCCGTATCGTATTCAAGACAAGCTCAAAAACCGTTCCTTTCTAATGGACTTTAATCTCTTCTTGCTTGTAACGTGGGAGAACCTGTTTGGACTGATCACTATATTTTACCAAAGGTATTTTCAGAAACTACTTTAAATCCATATCTATGTGAATGTGTTTACACAATATGCCGGATTTTTTTTTTCTTCAGAATCTTCAATCAGGTTTACGTTTCTCTTCTGCTTTTCAAGTCACACACAGCTTATCATCCATAAGAAATCAGATGTTTCTTCCAATTTAGTCAGTATAAAATTACCAATGTATGTGGGGAATCGAATGACATTTTCTTTCATCTGATTGCTTTTTACCGATCATATATAAACCATTTTGTTTGATGATCAGCTGTCGTAATTAATATGGTGGCATGAAGTCATTTAATTACGGATTTTTAACAGTTGACAAATAAAAATTTTAATACTTTGAGATTAAGACATCTTATTTCCGGAGGTTGTTCACTTTATACTTTATACTACTATAAGATCTATAAATGCAGAATCTATGCAAACATATCTTGTTCAGAGTCTAATCCACATGATTTTATTATTTATTATGATGAAAAACTGCCAATTTAAGCTAAGTACCAGCTACATACTGGTAGTAAAATCTCAATCTTGGTTACAATCATAGCCCAACTCTTTAACAATTACATAACTTACAAATGAACCTTCTCTTATTTAATTTAGAGTTTGTTTTTTTTTGTAGCACATCCATATCATTTCCATAACGCTATACTATTTCATCTACACGCACCAAAAATGATTATTTAATTTAATCTACCTTTAATAGAGGCAAAAACTAACACATTTTCACAAAACATCATGATGCTGCCAAGTACTTATTGATTAAGCTCTATTCTCATATTTTTATATCAGAACAAAACAAAAATAGCACAAACAGAACTAAAGTTTCCTCTTTATTCCGAACCCGAAAGTTGCTTGAACTTCCCATGAGACCACAAAAATGTTAATAGCCCCCATGAGTATAATTTTTTTTTATGGACGACTGTAGATATACTTTAGGCAAACTCGAAATGTTTATGTGTACAATCAAGTTTATACGATCATTGTGATTCACTCTTTCCTGAATAATTATTTTTGTACTTTTATTCTATTTTATGTGAGGAATTGAGAGATATAAGTAAGAAATGATCTTGGTGTAAAATGAATTAAAGCGCTTGTTGCAGGATTGTTTATTCATGGCTCATAAATGATGGCTTCCACCCTCTTTAAATTGAAAACAGACTTTCCCTCTCCTTAAAGTTGACCAAACTGCGTCGACAAATTTCAATCTTTTTTAAGCAAATTAAAGCTACAATAATAAACAATCTCGTGTGTCGCTCAGAGGAAGAGGAGCATTAAACCAAAAGAGTACAATCAACTTTCAATATAGAAAATAAAAATTGATCATCAATGATAAATGTACACAGCTATAGATGTACGCATGTGAAAAATCAGGAATCATGCTCTAGAAATAATATTTGCGAACTTTTAGAGAGAAAACAATAGAAAATGATGATGACTATATTTTTATGTAGCACTGGAAATGCACGCTAGCCTTAGAAAACTAAATTTCATTATTTCTTGCAGCACTCATTCATTAATTTTATTTTTAATAGAAGAAGAGATTAAAAAGTCATTAAATTAAATTTTTTCTCGCAAATTAAACTTTAGTGAATGGAGTGTCCGCATTCTCTTCTAGTTTTCGAGCGGGATTTTTAAAGCGAAGGACGGAAAATTAATTTTTGAGTTTTTGCGGTAAAATATTGTTTTTTTGGACAGGAAATGACAATTTGGAAGTTTAGATTAATATTTTTGCTAATTTCAACACAATAAATAGTCATTTGTTATTATTAGTAGCTGGCAAATGTGTTTTAAACTATAAATAGCAATTGTTTTCTATTGTAACTATGCAGTATTTATGTCATACTCATTAAATAAATTTCATTTGGAGCAGTTCCATGTACTGAATTATGATGATTTTTTTATTCTAAAAGAATTGTTCACAAATAACGTCAATTGATATTAAAATCATTCCCATCATCACTCAATTAACATATAACAAAGCCCTAAGCGCTTATGCCTTGTTATAAAAATCAATGGTTTCGTAATGGGCCGTTCACTTATTACGTTCGCATTTTAGGGGAGAGGGGGTTGAAAAATTGTAACAAGGGGAAGAGGGGGGGGTGTCAAGAAGTATGTAACGTTCTAACTGTCGTAAAGAAAGTTCACGAAAAAAATTTGTTTACAAATTCAAACCAAAAGCATTTTTTAATTCTTCCACCTTTTTAATGATAAAATAAATTATGAATGTTCTTGGGGGGGGGGGGGGGGGGTGAGTTGTAGCAAGGGGGGGGTGGGGTGAAAAAAGTATTTTTTGCGTAACGTAATAAGTGAACGGCTAAAGGGTTATTAGGATTTAGGTGATTAGGAAACCACAAAATTTTACTTTATTTTTTCTTAATTTAATTTTTTTTAAATTAAAACAAGCAATAATCAAATATGCAAAATCATGATGTCCTACTCATGTAATTGCAAGTTCCGCGAACTATCTATAATTAACTGACAATAAACATCGTGAGATAAATTCAACTTTTAAGCGGATGCTTAGTTATTGAAAAGTTTCAAGAGCTTCTTGGAAAAATTAAATCGTTTTTTTTTTCATTGCCACTGCACAACAATTTCAAATTTATTTGTTCATAAAGCTAGAACTAGAAGTGATGTCATAATTAAAACACAGAAA